ACTCAGAATACGAAAAAGACATTTTCCTTCTTCCATGTTTCTATTCGTGCGTCCGATAATGCAGCAGAAATTTACCATTATCAGGGAGAAATACACAAGGTTACGCACTGTGTTTGACGCTACCGTGTTTCTTGCCTCCGACCAAAATATTTCCCAGCAGCAACGCGGGATTTTAATAACAATGACGTCAGCTCAGACTCGCCTGTAGTGTTTAGTGACACATTATGACTTGGTCAGTGCCATTCTGATAAAAACAAACTTATAACAGCGGTCGAGTCTTCAGGGTTTAAACAAAAGCGAACTGCTTTGAAAAGTCACAGACGTACAGAAATATGAAGCAGTGAAACTCGGCGAACTGACTCGTCTGTGTTACTCAAAATGACAGAACCTGGAGGATCATTTTCCCTTTTAAGTTCAGTCACAAATAAAATAATTTAAACAAGTGAAATTACGAGGAGATGAGTTTTACTTGGAGCCATTTTCACCAGTCGACCTGAAAATGACCTGAAAAAACTACGACTAAAACATTGTGCAACAGAAACACAAAGTTTTCAACCATAAACTGACTTTAGAAAACTTCAGGTGATGTGACTGGATCTTTAAAAAAAACACACAGACACACAGACACAGACACACACACACACACACACACAGACACACACACAGACAGACACACACACACACACACACACACAGAGACACACACACAGACACACACAGACACTTGTGCTTGGAACTGTGTCAGGAAAGTCTTAAAAATGCACAAATAAACACAGAGGTCCTCATAAATCTGTCCTGTGGTTTGTAAACGAGGTTCATCAGTTTAAATAAATGTAACTGCACCGACCTTTGTGAATCACGTCACATTTTCGAGATGAGAAATGATTTTTTTTGTGAATGTTGTAATATTTATTTGATCATAGAGACACAAACCTGTCTCCACTGTTCACACACAAACTGCTTCATGACATCACAAGGTGGAACAGAACATTTGGAGCTTTGCAGATGTAAACAGACTAAAAATAAAGATTTACTCAAACATGTGAATGAGACAAACACAAGTCCAGCTCTGTGTGTGAAGGAGGAACATTAGAACAAACGTCCTCCTCTCTGCGTCCAGTCAAATGAAGAACAGAATAAACGCACCTCGTGAGCGCCCCCTCTGGTCTCATGTGTGACTGTGTGACTGTGTGTTTTCAGCTGTATGGTGGACAGTGTGAGGCCCAACAGCGGCTCGCGGTTTGTGTGGAGGGGCCCCGGTGAGACGAGGGGCCCCGGGGAGCTGCGCTTCTCTGTGGACTCCCTCCTCTTCACCCCGGGGACTCAGGTAAGACACGACGGAAGAACATGTTTACTGAAACGTTTAAGGAAATACTGTTTGTATAGAGTTCAGCTCCAGTCAAATGAAGCTCATCGAGGCTGTGGTTATAGGAGAGCATGTGGAGCCAGGTCCATATCAGGAAAAGGAATTTATTTACAGACAAAATAGTGACATAAAAACCCCAGGATCATGTAGAGCAGGTTAACACGAACATTAAACACCAAAATCACTTTATTCTCCTGATTCTCTGTGTAAATGTGTCTAAAATAGAAGTGTGTCTCTGTCTCTGGTCTTATTTTGTCATTTTTTGTGCAGATTTGTTAAAAATGTGACTTTTGGGTCAGAGTCGTGTCTTTAGGATAAACAGAACATTTGAGTTTTCATGATGGAAAAAAGGCGCCAATGAGTCAGATGCAGGTTATTTCGTGATGAGCGCAGACGCTGTCGTCTTCGGGCAAGAAGTGAAGGACGTGAGGGACGTGAGGGACATGAGGAGCTCCTCTCGTCCAGGGACGGACTGGGTCTGTCCCACTGATGTTTGACAAATGGGCAGATTATCAGATTAGCGCCCTCTGCTGGTAGTACTGACCGGACGGCTGTTCTGGACTTTTCCAGAACACACAGATTGTCAGTCCACCTGCTCTCCGCCCCGACCGTGTCCCGCCGTGTCTGGAGAAAAGGGAAACTGAGTGATCTGAGCACAAATGCTGCTCTGTTTCAAACTCCGGAGGCGTCGGTCTGCGTCGTGTTGGATTGTTGAGGCTCTCGGTCGACTGTCAATCATCGCCCCACACCCGACTTTTCAGATTTTTGCTTGGGGGGTGGAGTAAATCTTTGGGAGAGGATTTAACGGCTCTTGAAGACTAAATTGACAGCAGCAGAGAGAGAGAGGCGACAGTTTTGAAAATTAGATTTTCAGTTTCCAATTTTTTCGTAAATCAGCTCTGAGGCGTTTAGATTTTTCATTTTTCATTTTATAAAAGTCAAGATCCATGACAGGAAAAGTCGGCTCTTCCACCGCTGTCATCTTCTTGTGAAACAGTATTTTAAGTTTTGAAAACCTGATCTTGTTTGTAAATGTTTGTCTGTGGGTTAAAATCACTCATGATTATGATTCATTCGTGCGAGAGCCGAAAATCCACAAACACACGACAGAAATTTAAACTCAACCTTTTCATGTGCGACATCTGTCAGTGGAACATGTGACCGACAGAGTTTGTACGTGTGTAGGGTTTGTACGTGTGATCAGAGCTGATCACATGTTCTCACGTCTGGAGAAACAGTGGCTCCTTTCAATCCAAACCTGCTCATGTTGTAACTGAGGAGCTGATGTTTGTGGAGTGAATGAACTGAAAGATGATTTTGATAAAAGATGATGTTTGAGAGAACTGAGTGTGAATGATACAGAATTGTTCTGATGCTCTGGACTTTATAAAGACTTTCTCTTTGTATGTTTGATTTTATGAACTAGAACATGAACCTGCCCAGAGACGACAGGTGGACCTGAGCTCTGGAGCTTTAACCTACAAACATCTCTCCTGCTGAGGTTCATGTGACTGAGCACTGTCCCTGTGTCTTTAAATAAATTAAACTAAACTCTGTAAAGTGAATCGATGGAACCAGAAGTGCCTCCATGAACACGGGTTAACTACGTCCATTTATATAAAGAGTCATTTTTTGACAAATATTTTGAAAAGGAATCACTTCAGAGAACATAAAACACGTCATTATAGCATCTCTTTTTACATTTGAAGAGGAGCTGAACTCATCCAAGAGTCTCGTGTATTTGAGTGGAGCTAAACTACAGGCTGAGCAGCTTTTACACAGAATAAAACCCCACAGAGACACTGGGAGGGCATCTGACTCACAGGGACATTAGTGTGAAGATCTGCAGCTGATTCTGTTCTACACTTTTGTTCAGATGTTGTTCCTTCACTGCTCCATGTCCCTGAGTCTGCAGCTGTCGCCCACCTCCAAGAGCTGCACCTACGACCGGGCCACGCGCAGGTGAGTACGGAGCGCCCGCCGCGGGGGGGCGCCGCCGCGGGGGGGCGCCCGCCGCGGGGGGCGCCCGCCGGGGGGGGCGCCGCCGGGGGGGGCGCCCGCCGCGGGGGGGCCCCGCCCGCCGCGGGGCCCCTGTCGGTGGTCCAACAGTGACACTACAGGACCGAGATGAGTCACATGAATCCAGTTTGTTTCTGAGTTGATCTTGTGTGGTTGTGGTGCAGGTGGGTGGAGCTGGACGCGTCTCCCTCCGTGTGCTCCTGCTGTGACTCTGTGTGCGGGGCCCCTGGGGACTGTAAGTGCTCGCACCTGTCACACCTGCCGCACCTGTCTCACTGACGACACTCATACATTTACACAGAAATCCAACTACACTGTTCTTCCCCTGTGCAGCTGAATGTCTCTCCCAGCATGAACTGCATCATCTAATTTAGAAATCCTGTTAGAATCCTGTTAAAATCCTGTTAAAATCCTGTTATAATCTGATCATTTCTTTTATTCTTTGTGTTCAGTTGTGTCCAGTACGTTGGTGAGCAGCGCTGGGTGGAATTTCGCACAGGACCAGGACAAGCTCCACGACTGGACTGTGTCTCTGAAGAGCAGAGGACCAGGCCTCACGGACGAGCTGCACGAGGGGACTGTGTCTCTGAAGAGCAGAGGACCAGGCCTCACGGACGAGCTGCACGAGGGGACTGTGTCTATGAAGAGCAGAGGACCAGGCCTCACGGACGAGCTGCACGACTGGACTGCATCTATGAAGAGCGAAGGACCGAGCCTCATGGATGAGCTGCGTGAGGGGGCTGGGTCTCTAACGAGCAACAGACCAGGCCTCCTGGACGAGCTCCACGAGGGGACCTTGTCTCTGAAGAGCAAAGGACTGGGCCTCACGGATGAGCTGCGCAAGAGAGCTGTGTCCCTGGAGAGCAGAGGACTGGCCCTCCTGAACGAACTGCGCAATGGGGCTGTTTCTTTAAAGAGCAAAGGACTGGGCCTCCCGGACGAGCTGCACGAGGGGGCGGTTTCTTTAAAAGGCAAAGGACCAGGCCCTGCGGACGAGCAACGCGACTGGACTGCATCTATGAAGAGCAAAGGACCGAGCCTCACGGATGAGCTGCGTGAAGGGGCTGTGTCCCTGGAGAGCAGAAGACTGGGCCTCCTGGACGAGCTGCGCAAGGGGGCTGTGTCTTTAAATAGTAAAGGACCAGGCCTCATGAACGAGCTGCACGAGGGGGACCAGTGGGTTGGCACACAGAGGGACAGACCAGAGAAGGACAGAGGAATGGAATACAGCGAGCCCCGCCCCCAGGACACTCATCCCCGCCCCCAGGACACTCATCCCCGCCCCCAGGACACTCATCCCCGCCCCCCAGGACACTCATCCCCCGCCCCCAGGACACACTCATCCCCCCCCCAGGACACTTATCCCCGCCCCCAGGACAGCAGCCCTCCTTTGAAAAGTTCCCTCACAAACCACACGTCTGCCCAGAACCAAAGCGTCACCGTAAACTTTAACGCCACATCACTACACCTGGACTGAACAGCTGTAAGGTCTAATGACTCTGGGGGATCTGCACTGGACTGAACAGCTGTAAGGTCTAATGACTCTGGGGGATCTGCACTGGACTGAACAGCTGTAAGGTCTAATGACTTTGCCGTGCGCTCGTCCTCGTCTCTGCCCCAGACTGATCAGCTGAAAGGTTTATCAGCTCTGGTCCCAGTGTGAGCTCTGATGTATAAATAAACCAGACAGTTACTGAGAGTTTTGTGCTGTTACTGGATGAATCCGTGTCGGGGGAGTCCTACATACAGTCTGTGGTAATAATTTAAAGAAATGCACAGTGATAAAAGTTCTGTGACGGTTTAAAAACACTAACTTCTCTGGTTATGCCCTGGTCCGCCTCCTGCTTCTGTCCATGAAGATGTTGCTGCTTTACCTGGTGAACACAAACACCCCTGTTTCCACGGTAACAAGCAAATAATACCACCCAGCCAAGTTACAGATCAGCTCTATGGAGATGTGACTTAGTTTTTCAGTAAGTGTGTGTTTTGAGTGTGTCCCAAAAAAGTCCAGGCCAATAATTTTGTCAATTCTTGTTGAAATAACCTCAAATTTTCACAGAATGTTTAGAAACAAATCAAGATTTCATATTTTTATCTTTTAAATCTTGATTTAACAGATCAAGATTGTATTTATTTTATTTCTGTTCTGTTTTCAGGTTGAGTTGTTCCCTCTCAAAGAGAAGTCATTTTGTCAAAGATGTTCATTTTGTCTTATGTACTTTAACTTCTTAGGTTCTTTTTAAAGACAATGTGGTAAAGTATATTTATCTTGTTGACATGTTTCGGCTGCTGCTGCTGCAAACCGTCTTCACCACTGCTGCCGCCGAAACAGATCAACAAGCGAAATCCACTTAACCACATTGTCTTTAAAAAGAACCCAAGAAGTTAAAGAAGTCATTTTGTGTCTTGAGTCTGCTGCACAAACTCTCCCAAGACTGTGCAGTTTCAACGCAAAATTTGGAAAAACTTCACCAACTGGGGCCAAAACGTGAAGAAAAAGAATCTGGTGACACCAAACTGTCAGTTGAGGAATCTTGAGTTTCCAAACTTGTTCTCCTTACGAACGTCTTGAGGATTGGCAAGAGTTTTTCACAAACTCTTGCTAATTTCTCTTTCTTTCTAATTTCTTTTTTTTCCCCTTTCTTTTTTTCTTTCTTTTTTTAATTTCTTTTTTTTCTTTTTTCTTTTTTAATTTCTTTTCTTTTTTCTTTCTTTCTTTTTTATTAATTTTTTTTTCTTTTTTTTTTTTTTTTTCTAATTTCTCTTGAGAATTTCTCTCCTGATGTTTGTTGCTCCAGATCCTTTAGTCCTGCAGGAGATTCTTCCTCTTTACATTTTTGGTTCCAAGTCCAAATTAGTTTTTCCAGTTGAAGTTTTTCCAGATGTTGTGTTGAAGCTGCAGAGTCTTGGGTGAGTTTGAGCAGCAGATTCAAAGACACAAAATGACTTCAGGTTGGTTCATTCAGGTTCAGGTTCAGGTTCAACCCCAAACAGAAAACAGAACAAAAACAAAACATTAAATATAAAATCTTGATCTGTTTCTAAACATTCGGTGAAAATTTGAGGTGATTTCCACAAGAATTGACAGAAATTATTGACCTGAGAAACATCCTGTACATTTATATCTGCACCTGTACAAAACCGTATCATCACATGGAGACCAGCAGGTGGCAGGAAAGTTCCTCAGTGCAGCTTTAAGTCTTGTTGGCATCATGAAAATCTTGTAGCGGTGCCACAGGTCGTGATGAATGTGATGTGAGGAGCTCTGGTCGGTGTGGATTACATCTGCCTGTTCCATCTGCCGAGTCTGAACGTCCTAAAAATAAACTCCACACGAGGTTTATTTTGCTGCGTTTGTTTCGTCAGGGTCATTTTCACAAACAAACGAAACTGAATTTGAATCTTCTGGTTTTTTCAACCATTAAAAGGCAGTTTTGTTTTGTAAAGGAGCTCAGCAGAGGAGCTCAGAAGAGACTCTGATCTGCTCCTGATCTGCTCCTGATCTCCTCCTGATCTGCTCCTGATCTCCTCCTGATCTCCTCCTGATCTCCTCCTGATCTGATCTCCTCCTGATCTCTCCTGATCTACTCCTGATCTGCTCCTGATCTCCTCCTGATCTGCTCCTGATCTCCTCCTGATCTACTCCTGATCTCTCTGATCTGATCTCCTCCTGATCTCCTCCTGATCTACTCTTGATCTCCTCCTGATCTCCTCCTGATCTACTCCTGATCTACTCTTGATCTACTCCTGATCTCTCCTGATCTCTCCTCCTGATCTACTCCTGATCTGATCTCTCTGATCTCCTGATCTCTCTGATGATCTCTCTGATCTCCTCCTGATCTCCTGATCTCTCTCTGCTCCTGATCTACTCTGATCTACTCTGATCTACTCCTGATCTACTCCTGATCTACTCCTGATCTCTCTGATCTGATCTCTCTCTCTGATCTACTCTGATCTACTCTGATCTACTCCTGATCTGATCTCCTGATCTGCTCCTGATCTGATCTCCTGATCTCCTCCTGATCTCCTCCTGATCTGCTCCTGATCTCCTGATCTCTGATCTACTCTTGATCTACTCCTGATCTCTCTCCTCCTGATCTCCTGATCTCCTCCTGATCTCCTCCTGATCTACTCTGATCTGATCTACTCCTGATCTGCTCTGATCTCCTGATCTACTCTTGATCTCCTCCTGATCTCCTCCTGATCTCTCCTGATCTACTCTTGATCTCCTCCTGATCTACTCCTGATCTGCTCCTGATCTACTCCTGATCTGCTCCTGATCTCCTCCTGATCTCCTCTTGATCTCCTCCTGATCTCCTCCTGATCTCTCCTGATCTGCTCCTGATCTGCTCCTGATCTCTCCTGATCTCCTCCTGATCTGCTCCTGATCTCCTCCTGATCTACTCTTGATCTCCTCCTGATCTACTCCTGATCTGCTCCTGATCTACTCTTGATCTCCTCCTGATCTCCTCCTGATCTACTCCTGATCTCTCCTGATCTCTCCTGATCTACTCTCTCTCTTGATCTCCTGATCTCCTGATCTACTCTTGATCTCCTCCTGATCTCCTCCTGATCTACTCTTGATCTACTCCTGATCTGCTCCTGATCTCCTCCTGATCTGCTCCTGATCTCCTCCTGATCTCCTCCTGATCTACTCTTGATCTACTCCTGATCTGCTCCTGATCTACTCTTGATCTCCTCCTGATCTACTCCTGATCTGCTCCTGATCTACTCCTGATCTGCTCCTGATCTCCTCCTGATCTCCTCCTGATCTCCTCCTGATCTACTCTTGATCTGATCTCCTCCTCTGATCTACTCCTGATCTGCTCCTGATCTATCTATCTCTGATCTCCTCCTGATCTCCTGATCTCCTCTGATCTATCTCCTCCTGATCTGCTCCTCTCCTGATCTACTCCTGATCTGCTCCTGATCTTTCCTGATCTCTCCTGATCTACTCCTGATCTGATCTCCTCCTGATCTCCTCCTGATCTACTCTTGATCTCCTCCTGATCTGATCTCCTGATCTGATCTCCTGATCTCCTCCTGATCTACTCTCCTGATCTCCTCCTGATCTCCTCCTGATCTCCTCCTTGATCTCTCCTGATCTGCTCCTGATCTACTCCTGATCTCTCTCTGATCTCCTCCTGATCTCCTGATCTACTCCTGATCTCTCCTGATCTCCTGATCTACTCTCCTCCTGATCTCCTCCTGATCTCCTCCTGATCTCTCCTGATCTCCTCCTGATCTCCTCCTATCTGATCTACTCCTTGATCTCCTCCTGATCTATCTCCCTGATCTCCTCTATCTGATCTATCTCCTGATCTCCTCCTGATCTCCTCCTGATCTCTGATCTCTCCTGATCTCCTCCTGATCTGCTCCTGATCTGCTCCTGATCTACTCTTGATGTACTCCTGATCTGCTCCTGATCTGCTCCTGATCTCCTCCTGATCTCCTCCTGATCTCCTCCTGATCTCTCCTGATCTCTCCTCTCTGATCTCCTGATCCTGATCTCCTCCTGATCTCTCCTGATCTCTCTCCTCCTGATCTGCTCCTGATCTCCTGATCTCCTCCTGATCTCCTCCTGATCTATCTCCTCCTGATCTCTCCTGATCTCTCTGATCTCCTCCTGATCTCTCTGATCTCTCCTGATCTCTCCTGATCTCCTCCTGATCTGATCTCTCTGATCTACTCCTGATCTCCTCTGATCTCCTCCTGATCTCCTCCTGATCTCTCTGATCTCCTGATCTGCTCCTGATCTCTGATCTCCTGATCTGATCTCCTGATCTCCTCCTGATCTGCTCCTGATCTCTCCTGATCTCTCCTGATCTGCTCCTGATCTCTCCTGATCTCCTGATCTCCTCTGATCTATCTCCTGATCTACTCCTGATCTCTCCTGATCTGCTCCTGATCTTCTGATCTGCTCCTGATCTGATCTCCTCCTGATCTCCTCCTGATCTGATCTGATCTCCTGATCTGATCTCCTGATCTGCTCCTGATCTCTCTCTCCTGATCTGCTCCTGATCTCCTCCTGATCTGCTCCTGATCTTCTCCTCTACTTTTCAACATCATCTTATACTTTTCTTCACAAACTGATTTCTACGGTCAAAAACTTCAAACTAGAACATGGAGAAAGATCTGAGGAGAACATGGTCATGGCCAGAGTCGGGAGTAACAGATTACATGTACTGGAGTAAAGTAATCAGAGTACAAATGATGAGTAACTGTATTCAGTTACAGTTACTGTTTCAGTGAGTGGGAATTGGATTACAGTTACTTTGTTGAAATAAATGGATTAAACAGAGGGATTTTACTGTTTTCACATTTTGGGCTAAAACCAGGTCTAAACCAGGACTAAAGCCAGGTCTAAACCAGGTCTAAACCAGGACTAAACCAGGTCTAAAACCAGGACTAAACCAGGTCTAAAACCAGGACTAAACCAGGTCTAAAACCAGGTCTAAAACCAGGTCTAAACCAGGACTAAACCCAGGACTAAAACCAGGACTAAACCCACATCTAAACCAGGTCTAAACCCAGGACTAAAACCAGGACTAAACCCACATCTAAACCAGGTCTAAACCAGGTCTAAAACCAGGACTAAACCAGGTCTAAACATTAGGACGCCTCGTAAAATTACGACTTTTTCAGACTTCGACTTTATTCTCTGCGCCAGCATCTTTTTTTTTTTTTTTGACCTTTTGCTCCTTTCACTTGTCGTTTTCGAGTCAAAGGGTTTTGTGGCTCTGGGTTTTTTCTCCAATCGGCTCTGAGTGTTTAAGGTTCCCGACCCGTTTTAGATAAACCGACTTAAATATGGAGTAAATCTGTATCACCGAATCTAAAACAAGTGAAATGTTTCAAATGGATTGTCGCTTCTTTTAAACATTTATTGGCTAAATTTAAGATCAGAATAAATCTGGAAACAAGATGAACTTGATTTGAGTTTAAAAATCTTGGCCAGATCAGAATTTTTCAGTCTTTTCAGGTCAAAACAGTAGAACGAACAAACACCTGCTCGCAAACGTAGAGAAGTGAAAAGGTGGGGACATTTTGGTATTACAACTTTTATTTCGTTACGTTCCACCACTGATAAAGTGTTCAGAATTATTTAGAACTTTTTTATAGAACTTACATAGAACATAAAACTTACATCAAAGTTTCAGTCACATTTTCCTCAAATCAAACGGCCACAGAACATTTTGGTTTGATGATTAACCAAACAAAAGTACAACTGTAAAGTGTGAAAATATTTATTGTGTTCATTCGTACAGGGCTGACAGGTGAACACGGCAGGTGAACATGGCAGGTGAACATGGCAGGTGGCAGGTGAACACGGCAGGTGAAGAGTAGAACGTGGCAGGTGAACATGGCAGGTGAAGGGTCGGGGCTGTGGCAGGTTAATCGTCTCTTCTCTGGTTTACGAGTTCTTCTGGGGAACCTTGATGGTGACCTGAACAAAAACACACAAAAAAAGTCAATGTCAGAAGATTAAAGTGGAACAAAACACCGAACTCCAGGGCGTGAGGAGGACTAAAGGGGAGCGTGAAGAGGACTAAAGGGGAGCGTGAGGAGGACTAAAGGGGAGAGTGAGCAGGACTAAAGGGGAGTGTGAGGAGGACTAAAGGAGAGTGAGCAGGACTAAAGGGGAGTGTGAGGAGGACTAAAGGGGAGAGTGAGCAGGACTAAAGGGGAGTGTGAGGAGGACTAAAGGGGAGAGTGAGCAGGACTAAAGGGGAGTGTGAGCAGGACTAAAGGGGAGTGTGAGGAGGACTAAAGAGGAGAGTGAGGAGGACTAAAGGGGAGAGTGAGGAGGACTAAAGGGGAGAGTGAGGAGGGGGGGCGGGGTCTGGAGGACTAAAGGGGAGTGTGAGGAGGACTAAAGGGGAGAGTGAGGAGGGGGGGCGGGGTCTGGAGGACTAATGGGGACAGTGAGGAGGGGGGGCGGGGTCTGGAGGACTAAAGGGGAGAGTGAGGAGGGGGGCGGGGTCTGGAGGACTAAAGGGGAGCGTGAGGAGGACTAAAGGGGAGAGTGAGGAGGACTAAAGGGGAGGTGAGGAGGGAGAGGGGAGGGTGAGGAGGACTAAAGGGAGAGTGAGGAGGGGGGCGGGGTCTGGAGGACTAAAGGGGACAGTGAGGAGGACTAAAGGGGAGCGTGAAGAGGACTAAAGGGGAGCGTGAAGAGGACTAAAGGGGAGCGTGAAGAGGACTAAAGGGGAGCGTGAGGAGGACTAAAGGGGAGAGTGAGCAGGACTAAAGGGGAGTGTGAGGAGGACTAAAGGGGAGAGTGAGCAGGACTAAAGGGGAGTGTGAGGAGGACTAAAGGGGAGAGTGAGCAGGACTAAAGGGGAGTGTGAGGAGGACTAAAGAGGAGAGTGAGGAGGACTAAAGGGGAGAGTGAGGAGGACTAAAGGGGAGAGTGAGGAGGACTAAGGGGAGAGTGGGAGGGGGGGCGGGGTCTGGAGGACTAAAGGGGAGTGTGAGGAGGACTAAAGGGGAGAGTGAGGAGGGGGGGCGGGGTCTGGAGGACTAATGGGGACAGTGAGGAGGGGGGCGGGGTCTGGAGGACTAAAGGGGAGAGTGAGGAGGGGGGGCGGGGTCTGGAGGACTAAAGGGGAGCGTGAGGAGGACTAAAGGGAGAGTGAGGAGGACTAAAGGGGAGGGTGAGGAGGAGAGGGGAGGGTGAGGAGGACTAAAGGGGAGAGTGAGGAGGGGGGGCGGGGTCTGGAGGACTAAAGGGGACAGTGAGGAGGACTAAAGGGGAGCGTGAAGAGGACTAAAGGGGAGCGTGAAGAGGACTAAAGGGGAGCGTGAAGAGGACTAAAGGGAGAGTGAGGAGGGGAGGGTGAGGAGGACTAAAGGGGAGAGTGAGGAGGGAGAGGGGAGGGTGAGGAGGACTAAAGGGGAGAGTGAGGAGGGGGGGCGGGGTCTGGAGGACTAAAGGGGAGCGTGAGGAGGACTAAAGGGGAGCGTGAGGAGGAGGGAGAGGGGAGGACTAAAGGGAGAGTGAGGAGGACTAAAGGGGAGGGTGAGGAGGGAGAGGGGAGGGTGAGGAGGACTAAAGGGGAGAGTGAGGAGGGGGGGCGGGGTCTGGAGGACTAAAGGGGACAGTGAGGAGGACTAAAGGGGAGCGTGAAGAGGACTAAAGGAGAGAGTGAGGAGGACTAAAGGGGAGGGTGAGGAGGGGAGGGTGAGGAGGGGAGGGTGAGGAGGACTAAAGGGGAGGAGGAGGACTAAGGGGAGAGTGAGGAGGACTAAAGGGGAGCGTGAGGAGGACTAAAGGGGAGCGTGAGGAGGACTAAAGGGGAGAGTGAGGAGGGGGGGCGGGGTCTGGAGGACTAAAGGGGAGAGTGAGGAGGGGGGCGGGGTCTGGAGGACTAAAGGGGACAGTGAGGAGGACTAATGGGGAGAGTGAGGAGGGGGGGCGGGGTCTGGAGGACTAAAGGGGACAGTGAGGAGGACTAAAGGGGAGAGTGAGGGGGGGGGCGGGGTCTGGAAGACTAAAGGGAAGGAGGAGGAGGAGGAGCATGGTCTAGATACACGTCCAGGACTTCGGCATCAAAAGTTGAATGTGCTGAACTTTTGGCGTCTCATGCACCACGTCAACCAATCAGGGACGACTATCCAGAAATGTAGCGACGTTATTCGCCACAAGAAGAAGAGGAAAGAGAAAGTCTCAGGTGAACACAGGTGAACGCTCTTCTTACCGTCTTGACCTCGGTGTACGCCTCCAGGCCGTACTCGCCGAGCTCTCGCCCGTTCCCTGACGCCTTGTACCCTCCAAACGGAGCCTGCGCCCCGAACACGTCATAGCAGTTAATCCTGAAAACAACCAGAAAGACTCTTAATCCTGAGAAGAACTAGAGAAAAACCAGAGAGACTGAAGAGACTGTATCTGTGTGTGTGTGTGTGTGTGTGTGTGTGTTTGTACGTGTGTGTTTGTACGTGTTTGTACGTGTTTGTGTGTTTGTGTGTGTGTGTTTGTACGTGTGTGTGTGTGTGTGTGTGTGTGTGTGTTTTTGTGTGTGTGTTTGTGTGTGTTTGTGTGTGTGTTTGTACCAGATAGTCCCAGCGCGGAGTCCGTTGGAGATGTAATGGGCTTTGTCGAGGTCTTTGGTGAAGACGGCAGCTGCCAGGCCGTATATGGAGTCATTGGCGCGTTCGACCACCTCCTCCAGGGATTTAAACTTCAGGATCTGCATCACTGGACCAAAGATCTGAGGAGACACGAGGAACGTCAGGGTGTATCGTCTAAAGAAAGAGGGGGTTTGTTTTCTTTGTGGGAGAAGATCTGTATCGAGTATCGAGTTTGTTCCTCAGTATCAAAATAGAGTTTTAAATTTTAGCATCGTGACTCTGACTTGGTGCAGACACAGAGCGGTGACAGAGCAGGTGGAGCTGGTACCTCCTCCCGGGCGATGGTCATGTTGTCCTGGACGTCTCCGAACACGGTGGGCTGGATGAAGTATCCTCGGTCGGCTGCCACGCCCCCCCCGCAGAGCAGCTTTGCCCCCTCCTTCTTCCCAGTGCTGATGTAGCCCAGGATCTTGTTGAACTGCTCCTGATCCACCTGCAAGAACAACACTTCTGAGCACAGCGCCTCCCACCTGCTGATGTCACGAGGGGGCGCTCCTCCGTGGTTTTAACTTTTTGGAGCTTTCTACCATGTTGTACGTGAATATTCAGACCTGAGGGCCCTGCTCCGTGCGCAGGTCAAACGGGTCGCCCACCACGCGCCTCTTGGCTCGCTCCGCGCTGCGCTCCACAAACTCGTCGTAGATGTCGGCCTGGACGTACGTCCTGGAGCCGGCGCAGCAGCACTGGCCCTGGTTAAAGAAGAGAGCGAAGTGCGCCTGCTCCACCGCCTCCGCCACTGCACAACAGGTACACAGAGAACACAACACACACACACACACACACACACACACACACAGACACACACACACACACACAGGAGAACACACACACACGCAGGAGAACAACACACACACACAGACAGAAGAACACACACACAAAGAACAACACACACACACACACACAGGAGAACACACACACACAGACACACAAAGAACACACAAAGAACACACACACACATACACAAAAAACACACACACACACAAACACAGGAGAACACACACACAAAGAACAACACACACACACAGACACACACACACAGAAGAACACACACACAGACGCACACACACACACACAGACACAGAGAACAACACACACACACAGGAGAACACACACACACAGACACACACACACACACACACACACACACACAAAAAAAAGAACACACACACACACAGGTGAGAGGAGCCGTTGACGTGTATCACAGGGTTAGTTGTGTTGAACCGTTAAATCTCGTACTGTTGGCGTCGGACAGGATGATGTTGGGGCTTTTCCCGCCGAGCTCCAGAGTCACTTTCTTCAGGTTACTGTTGCCAGACGCCTGCTGGATCAGATGCCCGACCTGCACACAGCACAGAGTCACAGAGTCACAGAGTGTGTGTGTGTGTGTGTGTGTGTGTGTTTTGTGCACTAACTCAGGATCCTTTCATACCAGGAGGAGACACAGCAGTTTTACTGACTGAACTCTTCAGAATGACCACAACAGCCACGCACCAGTGTCCCACAGCTCTGTCCTCACATTTAAAAGGTTTAGGGCCCTAAAAACCGAAGGCCTGGGACCAGAGAGCTCCAGGACCACAAGACCAGAGAGCTCCAGGACCACAAGACCAGAGAGCTCCAGGACCACAAGACCACAGAGCTCCAGGACCACAAGACCACAGAGCTCCAGGACCACAAGACCACAGAGCTCCAGGACCACAAGACCAGAGAGCTCCAGGACCACAAACCAGAGCTCCAGGACCACAAGACCAGAGAGCTCCAGGACCACAAGACCAGAGCTCCAGGACCACAAGACCACAGAGCTCCAGGACCACAAGACCACAGAGCTCCAGGACCACAAGACCAGAGAGCTCCAGGACCACAAGACCACAGAGCTCCAGGACCACAAGACCAGAGAGCTCCAGGACCACAAGACCACAGAGCTCCAGGACCACAAGACCAGAGAGCTCCAGGACCACAAGACCACAGAGCTCCAGGACCACAAGACCACAGAGCTCCAGGACCACAAGACCACAGAGCTCCAGGACCACAAGACCACAGAGCTCCAGGACCACAAGACCACAGAGCTCCAGGACCACAAGACCAGAGAGCTCCAGGACCACAGGTTCACTCCCCCTTTTCAGAGACTTTACAAGAGTGCATCTGGCTGATTATCTACAGGATTAGTCCCTCTGATCCACACCACAACAGAACTTTACTCTGAGTGTGGATTGAACTGATCGGATCAGAGCTGTGGAGCTGTTCACACCGTAACTATTAATTTATCAAGAGCAAAGCTGCGCTGGGCTCCGGCGTTTGCACAAACACACATGAGGCCCTCAGAGCTCAGAGCGAGCGGTACCTCGGTGGAGCCGGTGAAGGCCACTTTGTCCACATCCATGTGTTTGGCGATGGCGGCTCCGGCGGAGGGTCCCATACCCGACAGGATGTTCACCACCCCCTCAGGAAAACCCACCTGAAGCAGAAACACAAGAGAATCAGTTTGTGAGACGTTAAAGACTCCGGGCAGATCTGAGTTCAGTTTCCTGTTGGAGGCCGAGGAGTCACATTTGACACACTCTGTTTATTATATCTTTATTATTTCTACATTATATCTATATCCAGTCTATGTTTCATCAGCTTTATATTTGTTTACACATAAATAAACTTTCATGGTGTAAAAGTTGTGGAGCACAGACCTCCTTGATGAGACTGGCCACAAACAGAGCGGTGAGCGGCGTCTGCTCCGCCACCTTCATCACCACCGTGTTTCCTGTGGCGAGCGCCGGGCCCAGTTTCCACGCCTGCATCAGCAACGGGAAGTTCCACTGCGGAGACGGGAGAAGGATTCATCCTGTTTACATTCTGTCAGCCAATGTTGTAGTGATATTCTGACTTTAACTACATAAACCAAATAAACTAACTTTCTCCAGCTCCATATTTTCCCAACTGTTACAATGGAACTTATTTACATCGGCCGTCGAGAGAAACGACTCAGGATTTATTAACTACCGACATTCAACAGAACGCAGCATCATCTCCTGTTGGGTTCAGCCTCGAGTCAGAAGAGCCTCGAGTCAGAAGAGCCTCGAGTCAGAAGAGCCTCGAGTCAGAAAATCCATGTTCAGGTCGTGTTACAAACTGTTACAAATGAAATTGTATTTCAAGTTTTAAATATTTAAAAAATTAAAATATTAAAAGTAATAAATATATTAAACCCTTAAAATACAGCAAAAATGTTTGAGGAAATAATGATTTGTGTGGAAATGTCGTCTTAAGTGGAACAGGGTGAATAATTGTCTGATTTTCAGGCAACAACTTGCAAAATGTTCAGTAATTCGAGCTCTACAACCTTCATTTCAATTTTATTTAAATCTTTTTCTTTTAATAAGCATTGGTGGTTTGTAAACCAACAAATGAAGTAATACTGCCCTTACCTAATGCTGTTATACATGATTATGTGTTTTCCCGTCAATGTCTCTAAAAATGTTGATGTTGCAGCCATTTTTAATTGGTAAACATCCAAAAGTTTATTAATTCTTCCCTGATCCAGGGATTATTCCCTGTTGCTTTCATCAAATAAACATTCAACTGTTCAAGAGAAATGTTGCTGACAAACAAGAGAAGAGGGAAGGATTTTCTGACTAGTGGATCTTCTGATGATGAGGGTGGATTAGCATCACAGGTTTTATAAACAGATCTTACACAAAACACACAGTACAACAGCATCACACTGGTTTTATCATTACAAATATATGTGTCATTTTTCTAATAAGTTTAAAACTCAGAATTATGAGTTTAAAATCATAATTCTGAGTTTTTGTGAGGCTTTTATTTTTGATTTCCTGGTGGGAACGGCCTTCCACAGACTTCAGAGCCTTTATGATAAATGAGTTAACGAGTCTGAGCTGCGTCAGTTCATTTTCTAAACCACAGATGGCGCTGCAGAACACGACGACAACAACAACACAGTGTCAACACAGTGTTACACACACCGAGGCCTCATCTACACACTACAGCACCGACACCGACACTTGTGTTCTGTTTGTGTCGTGTTGTGGATCTGATCCTGGTCGCCTGAAGAGGAGGTGGTGGTGGTGTTCATTGTGTCGAGTTGTGTTCATTTGTCGAGTCGTGTTCATTTGTCGAGTTGTGTTCATTTGTCGAGTTGTGTTCATTTGTCGAGTTGTGTTCATTTGTCGAGTTGTGTTGTGTTATTGTGTCGATGTCTGTCGCCACACACACTCCCACAGGTTCGTGTCTCGTGTAGCAGAAATAATCTCCATCGATGGGGATGGTTTTCCCCTCCCACTTGTCCGCCCAACCTGCGTAATATCTGCACACACACACAAACACACACACACACACACACACACACACACACAAAACACACACACACACAAAAAAAACACACAGGTCAGCAGGGGTCAACTACACAACAATAACACGACACAGAAACAGAGAAACACAGAAACAAACAACAGAAACACCACAACAACAGAGACAAAAAACACAAACAGTGAAACGACAGAAAAAAACACAGAAACAACAGCACAACAACACAAACAAACAATAACACCACAGAAACAACAAGAGGCTTTAGTGACGTTTCTCATCAGTACAGGAGACGACAGTGTGTCCCTCACTAGAGCTGCTCACGATACAATATATCCTGACATGACGATACAGACCCTGACAAAAGTCTTGTTGTTTATCCATTTTGTAGAAACAAAAGCTTATAACCCGACTTTAAATTAATTGATTGGTTTTAGAAATGTCTCATATAAAAGCTAAAACCCTCCCAAATTATGCTCAATAAACTAAAATAAATTTGCTTCACTGAAGACAGATTGATCATTTAATGAACACAGAAAGGTCAGATTTTGGCAAGACAAAAGTCTTGTGGTCTTGTCATATGATGCACCAATCCTAGATCACAGCCTCACCTGTGATCAGTTACTGATCAATCAGTTAGTGGGTGTGTATAAAAAGAACCCAGCAGAACCAGACCTTCACATCAACTGCAACTTGACCTCTGACAACATGCCTCAGATCCACCCTGAGACCAAAGCCTTAATTATCAAGAGGCTGAAGACCAGATCCACTGCTGAGGTGGTGACACCTTCAATGTGTCTCAGCGTCAAGTACAAAGAAGAAGAAAAAGATCTGAAATGACTGGAGATGTTTTTGACAAGCCCAGGTCCAGCAGACGCCGCAAGACAACTGCTCGGGAGGAAAATCCAAGGCCCCTTTTCCACTGCAGCAGACTCCACCAGGCCTGGTCACCTCAAGTCCCTGTGTCAACCACAACAGTTTGTAGAATTGTGTCTGGAAATATCTCGAATATTCCTGATGACTTCATCAACAAATTGTATGAATCATTGTGGAACCACATGGATCTTCAAGCTCATGGAGTCATACAAGATATTAAATCTGATCTCACAGCATCACGACTTCATTCACTGACGTTATGCAACAGATTTTTGTATTTGAAGTAAATTATTTGTTCAATTTTCTGTAGGCGACAAAACTTTTGTGTTGCCAAAATCTGACCTTTCTGTGTTCATTAAATGATCAATCTTTCTTCAGTGAAGAACATTTATTTTAGTTTATTGAGCATAATTTGGGAGGGTTTTAGCTTCATATGAGACATTTCTAAAACCAATCGATTAATTTAAAGTCAGGTTATAAACTTTTGTTTCTACAAAATGGATAAACAACAAGACTTTTGTCATTGACTGAACAGAACAAACAAACGACAACAAACTTAGTCCACTTCTTTATACAGTCTGCCCCTGTCGCTCCTGCCCTCGCTCCTGCCCCGCCCTGCCCCTGTCGCTCCTGCCCCTGTCGCTGCTCCTGTCGCTCCTGCCCCTGTCGCTCCTCCTGCCCGTCGCTCCTGCCCCTGTCGCTCCTGCCCCTGTCGCTCCTCCTGCCCCTGTCGCTCCTGCCACTGCCTCTCCTGCCCCTGTCCCTGCACCTGTCTCTGCTCCTGCCCCTGCCGCTCCTGTCTCTTGGCGTGTGGACAGAAGAGTTCGTTTACATTTGTAACAGAAAGTTCTTCCCTCTGAGATCATCGCTCTGTTTTTTCTCTTCCCTTTTCGGTTCGTCGTCTTCGTCCTGAGCCTCGTGCACCAGAACAAAAGTTTGAACTCATGTTTGCTTTTTTTGTCTTTATTTTTATGACTGTTTATGCCCTTTTAGTTTTTTTGGAAACAGAAGATCAAATATATGAAAGAAGAAATGTGAAATTATGTAGAAAAGAAAAGAAGAAAAAGTTACTCAAATTAATATTTTTGTATTTTCTAAATGTAAATGGTCACAGGTCAGAGGTTTGCAGCTCTGTTGACAAAACAAACATTTATTATTTACCTTTTTTCTTAGCCACAGAGTTTCTCTCACTTCTTATATTTCATTTCAGGTTTTCAGTTTGTCTCAACGTGTAAAACAGTAAAACACTGAGTGAGGAGGGTTGTGTGTTTTAGACACATCCTGACCTTTTATTTGTTCTGAGTCACTTCACAAGTTTTACTTAAAGGTTTATCTCAGTTCTGTTCCTGTTTGAGACAAACAGGGCCACACCTGTCAGAGAAACAGTCCCACAGGTCGATAAAACCAAAACCTGACCCTCCCTGATTTCACACGTGGACAGTATTTAGTACAAAGTGAATGAATAATAATGAATAATGCTGAATAACGCTGATTAACGCTGAATAATGCTGAATAATGCTGAATAATGCTGAATGCTGAATGCTGAATAATGCTGAATAATGCTCTGTAAAGCTTCTTTGTGACAAAAAAAAATGTCTGTGAAAAGCGCTATAGAAATAAAGACTTTATAAAAGACTTAACTTTTACCCCGGCACATTTTACACTTTTACTCTGGTGTATTTTACACATTTACTCCTGCGCATTTTACTCTACTGCATCTATGCTTTTATTCCCACGAAATTGACTCCAGCGCATTTACTCTGGTGTATTTTACTCCAGCGCATTTTACTCCAAAGCTCCAAACGCTCTGTTCCACCTTGTGATGTCATGAAGTGATTGTTTAAGTTCACAGCTCCTTTTTCCTTTTAGTTCAGTCGAGATTTGTAAAGAAATTCCAGGACTGAACTGATCCAGATGAAGGTGTGTGGAGCTTAAAAACACAGTGGAGCACTTCCTGTATCACCACATGATGACATCACGAGGTGGAACAGAGTGTGAATAAACCAAAAAAAAACAAACCAAAAACCACACAACTCCAGGTCTGTGTGCGACGAGGAAACATTCGACCAGATGAGAGAACAGTGTGACACGGGCCCTTTAATAGTGGAGGAGTTCGATGTTTAGACTGTGTCACTTTGTGATGTCGTCATCGTCGTCGTGGCAACAGTGTAAATCTGACCTGAGGCACTTGACGACGTTGGGCAGGTCCACGGCGTAGGCCACGGCGTACGGCTTCCCGTTGTCCAGAGTCTCCAGCTCCTGAGACGCACACGAGCAGAGTCACACACACTGAACAGCCGAGGGTCATGTGACTCTAACCGGAGGCACTGCTCTGTCTGAAACTCTGTTACTCACGTTAGAGTTAAATCTGAACTTTTGGACCAGAAAGAGACGATTTATCTGAACCACAACAGCCGACACACACACACTGACACACACACAGACACACACACACACACACACACACACACACACACACATTTACACACACACAGACACACACACACATTTACACACACAGACAGACACACACACACATTTACACACACACAGACAGACACACACACACATTTACACACACAGACAGACACACATTTACACACACACACACACACACATTTACACACATGCACACACACACACACACACATTTACACACACACTTGCACAGAAACACACACACACATTTACACACACACACACACACAGACACACACATTGACACACAGAGACACACACATTTACACACACACACACATACACACACTCACTGACACACTCACTGACACACACACACTTACACACATCCACATTTACACACACACATTCACACACACTCACTGACACACTCACTGACACACACACACACACTTACACACATCCACATTTACACACACACATTCACACACACACACATTCACACACACCCACATTTACACACACATTTACACACACACACTTACACAGACACATTTACACACACTTGCACACACACATTTACACACTTACACACAGACACACACACGCACACTTACACACATTTACACACACACACACACTGACACACACTTACACACACACATTTACACACTTACACACAGACACACACACACACACGCACACTTACACACATTTACACACACACACACACTTACACACACACATTTACACACTTACACACAGACACACACACACACGCACACTTACACACATTTACACACACACACACACACTTACACACTTACACACACACACTTACACACACACATTTACACACTTACACACTTACACACACACACGCACACTTACACACATTTACACACACACACATTTACACACACATAAACATGACCCGGACGTTCCACAAACCCACACCGCGACACCTGAGTCGTTCTAAAATCGTCGTGTTGTGGATATTTGGCGTAAGTTCTGGGGGCGGAGACTCACGGCGAGGTAGGCGGCGTTCCTCTCGATGGCGTCGGCGAGTCTGTTGAGCAGGACGCCGCGGTCGGACGCGTCCATGCGGCGCCACGGGGAGCCCAGCCTGAAGGCTCGCCGCGCCGCCTGCACCGCCTTGTCCACATCGGCCTGCGGGGGGCGCACACACATAAAAACACTTCGTCCCACCTTGTGATGTCATGTGTTAATACAGGAAGTGCTCCACTGTGTTTTAAAACTCCACACACCTTCACTTAAGTCTGTGCAATGAACTGAATTTGAATCACAATTTCGATTTGTGTGACAGACTCAATATAATAAACTCTGAAATGATTTATAAAGCTTAACAAACTTTATTTTGGGATATTTTTTATATAAATATGTATTTTTTTTTACTTTTTTTATTTAAATAGAGATAGAAGAGCTGGAGTTTATTTTGGTACATTTCTGTTTTTCTGTCTTATTTCATGTTCAAAGTTTATTTGATTCATTTCATGTTTTATACGTCACAAAACTGAACTAAGGTTCAGATTTGTAGCTGATATTTATTTTCAATTTGAAAGTTTTGAGTAAATTATCAATGACAAAGTGGGGTTTTGAGAGAGAGAAATGCTGAATAAATGCATTGTGTAAATAAAAATAATAATAAATAATAATAATCGTTTGAATAATCGTGATTTAAGTATTTACCAAAATAATCATGTCATCATGATTTTTTTCATAATCGATCAGCTCTAACTTCACTAGAATCACTTGGATCATTTCAGGTCTGGAGTTGCTGATCTTGACTGAACTAAATGGAAAAGGAGCTGTTAAACTTGAAAACGAAACGACCACTTCATGACATCACAAAGTGGAACAGAGCATTTTGAGTTTTGGAGATGTATTTATTTTATTTTATTTATTTATTTTATTTAAAACAAGAACAGTGGATAGAAAATGTTAAACTTAGGAGGTAAAAGGTGCTCTGTGCCAGATTTAACTCCAAACTCAATCATCAGATTTTCTGTGTTTTATCTAAACAAATGTCAGTTTTTGTCTCTTTACTGTTGCAGGATTTGATTTGTCAAAAACAGAGACACTGGGACATTTCTTGTATAAACTGGGACAAGAGACACAGGCTCAAAACTGGGACTGAAACAACAAAAAGTGTTGTGTTAAAATTGACTCTGACAGAATCAATTTTAACATTTTCTCAGAGTTTATCTGAGTCACTCTGTTCTAGAGTTAATTTAACACTTGTGTAAATGTTCATGAAGTAAAACTGGACCAAAGTTCCTGTTTAACCCCAAATCCAGAGTTAAATGAACGTTTAGAGAGTAAACAGATAACACTTTGTAGAGTTATTCTGATTTAACTCAAACAACACACAGAGGTGTTTTATTTTTACACTTTATTTGAGTTAATTTAAGATGAAATTATGAACAAAACTGGTTCAAACTGGTTCTACTCTGGAGGGAGTTTGAAGTGGTGGTGGAGACAAATTAACACTAAGAAGTTGAGTTGAGTTAACTCTTGAATTAACACTGGGGAAAGTTGAATTAACTTCACCCAAATCAACTCTGGCAAATAACCCCGACTCCAACACACATTTAACTTTAAAAGAGTTAAAATAACACTTTTTGTGTGAAATATTTTATCCTGAAATTTTTACCCTCCAGTTTCCAAGTTCACAAGAGTCAGATTCAGGAGCTTCAAGTCATTTTAAATGTCTGGGAGTTTTTTTGTTTCCTGAAGAAGGAAACAGATGTTGGATTTGAACTTTTCTTTTAGTCACACGCACCTGCTTCATTTCTCTTTCTCTTTTTCTTTTTTGTTCCTCATTTTTAATAAACATTTTTTAATCATTATTATTTTCATCATCTTTTACTATTTACGACAAACTTAAAGCAGAATTTTAAAGTTCTTGTATAAAACTGGGACAAATGACTGGTTCTGGATAAACACGTGAAAACAAAGCTCTACTTTGGCCCAAAAACACCAGAACCTCCTGAAGTCGAGTTTAATGTGAGTTTAATCGTGTCCAGAAGCTCACCGCGTCCGCCTCCGCCACCTGACAGATGATCTCGCCCGTGGACGGGTTGATCGTGGGGAAGGTGCGTCCGCTCACCGCGTCCTGGAACTCATTGTTGATGAAAAGCTGAAAAATTAAATAAAACCAACAAATGTTTTTACTCGACCGGAGTTTCCCAAAGACCGAGTCACAAGAGGTTTTTAAATCACGATCTGCAGGAAGATCTGAGACGTTCAGCTGAGAAACCAGGTCTAAACCAGGTCTAAACCAGGACTAAACCAGGACTAAACCAGGTCTAAACCAGGACTAAACCAGGTCTAAACCAGGACTAAACCAGGACTAAACCAGGTCTAAACCAGGACTAAACCAGGTCTAAAACCAGGACTAAACCAGGACTAAACCAGGTCTAAACCAGGACTAAACCAGGACTAAACCAGGACTAAACCAGGTCTAAACCAGGTCTAAACCAGGTCTAAACCAGGACTAAACCAGGTCTAAACCAGGACTAAACCAGGACTAAACCAAAGACTAAACCAGGACTAAACCAAGGACTAAACCAGGACTAAACCAAAGACTAAACCAGGACTAAACCAGGACTAAACCAGGTCTAAACCAGGTCTAAACCAGGACTAAACCAGGACTAAACCAGGACTAAACCAGGTCTAAACCAGGTCTAAACCAGGACTAAACCAGGACTAAACCAAGACTAAACCAGGACTAAACCAGGACTAAACCAGGACTAAAACCAAGACTAAAACCAGGACTAAACCAGGACTAAACCAGGACTAAACCAGGTCTAAACCAGGACTAAACCAGGTCTAAACCAGGTCTAAACCAGGCCTAAACCAGGACTAAAACCAGGACTAAACCAGGACTAAACCAGGTCTAAAACCAGGACTAAACCAGGTCTAAACCACCAGGTCTAAACTAAACCAGGACTAAAACCAGGACTAAACCAGGAAACTAAACCAGGTCTAAACCAGGTCTAAACCAGGAACTAAACCAGGACTAAACCAGGTCTAAAAAAACCAGGTCTAAACCAGGACTAAACCAGGACTAAACCAGACTAAACCAGGACTAAAACCAGGACTAAACCAGGACTAAACCAGACTAAACCAGGTCTAAACTAAACCAGGTCTAAACCAGGTCTAAACCAGGTCTAAACTAAACCAGGTCTAAACCAGGTCTAAACCAGGTCTAAACCAGGACTAAACCAGGTCTAAACCAGGTCTAAACCAGGTCTAAACCAGGTCTAAAACCAGGTCTAAACCAGGTCTAAAACCAGTAAACCAGGACTAAACCAGGAAACCAGTAAAACCAGGTCTAAACCAGGTCTAAACCAGGACTAAACCAGGACTAAACCAGGTCTAAACCAGGTCTAAACCAGGTCTAAACCAGGTCTAAACCAGGTCTAAACCAGGTCTAAACCAGGACTAAAACCAGGTCTAAACCAGGTCTAAACTAAACCAGGAAAACTAAACTAAACCAGGTCTAAACCAGGAAACCAGGTAAACCAGGTCTAAACCAGGTCTAAACTAAACCAGGAACTAAAACCAGGTCTAAACCAGGTCTAAACCAGGTCTAAACCAGGAAACTAAACCAGGACTAAAACCAGGTCTAAACCAGGTCTAAACCAGGTCTAAACCAGGACTAAACCAGGTCTAAAAGGAAACCAGGAACTAAAACCAGGTCTAAACCAGGTCTAAAACCAGGTCTAAACCAGGTCTAAACCAGGTCTAAACTAAACCAGGTCTAAACCAGGTCTAAACCAGGTCTAAACCAGGTCTAAACCAGGTCTAAACTAAACCAGGTAAAACCAGGACTAAAACCAGGTCTAAACCAGGTCTAAACCAGGACTAAACCACCCAGGTCTAAACCAGGTCTAAACCAGGTCTAAACCAGGACTAAACCAGGAAACTAAACCAGGTCTAAACCAGGTAAACCAGGTCTAAACCAGGTCTAAACCAGGTCTAAACCAGGTCTAAACCACTAAACCAGGTCTAAACCAGGTCTAAACAGGTCTAAACCAGGTCTAAACCAGGTCTAAACCAGGTCTAAACCAGGTCTAAACCAGGTCTAAACCAGGTCTAAAACCAGGTCTAAACCAGGTCTAAACCAGGTCTAAACCAGAACTAAAACCAGGTCTAAACCAGGATTTAATCAGAACTAAACCATGCCGCACGCATGCGCAGAAGGACTGTCAACGCTTCCAACTCTGCCCAAGGTTCAGATGAGGATCTTACGAAACCGATGAATTTAAACTGCGCCAGACCCGGAAAACCTCAACCAACCCGAACCAACCCGAACCCAGACCGAACCCAGACCGGTCCAGACGAGCAGAACACGCACCCTGCACCAACTCTTTCCACATTCACGTGAAGAGCGCGGGTGTGCACGCGCTCAGGTGCAACTTTACCACAGCACGAGCGCCACGCGTGACCAGAGACACGGACTCTGCGCACTCAAGACGCGCGCACCTGTGGCTCGGGCGCACGGTCCCCTGGTGCACGGGACCTCGGCACCTCGGGCTGGGTGCTGGTGCTGGGTGCTGCTGGGTGCTGGTGGGTGCTGGTGCTGGTGCTGGGTGCTGGTGTCTGGGTGCTCGGGTGCTGGGTGCTCTTACCTTGTTGTAGTGCACCTCGGGCTGGGTGCTGGGGGTCGGGATGGCCGCGGCGGGTGCGGAGAAGCGGCTGACGCACAGACGCTGCAGTGCGGGGCGCGCGCGGGAGAAGAACACGCGGTTCATGTTGGAGAAAAGCTGCGGGAAAAGTTCAGACCTGCAGGAAACTGGAGCGACCGGAGCGTCTCCAGCGTCTGTGCGTCTGCGGGACTAAACCAAACCCCCGGATCTTCCTCTCCCGTCCGCGCTCGGCTCCTCCCGCGGCCACCGGTGCGTCACTGCCCCCTGCCGCTCCTGAGGGGGAGGTGCTTCACGTGCCACAGGTGCTCCTACAGGTGCTCCTACAGGTGCTCCTACAGGTGCTCCTACAGGTGCTCCTACAGGTGCTCCTACAGGTGCTCCTACAGGTGTGGAGTTACTGTGGACTTATTTTCTGTGTTTTTAATGTTTCATTCATGTTCATGTGATATAGAAGTGACTGAGTTCCTTGATGTGATGTGTGTGTTTCTGCACTTTGGGGAGTCAGTGGGTTGGGAGATGCCGTCACTATGAGTGTGTATGAGATAGTAAAGGGTGTGTTTAAACCTTTAGCATTTGCCAATCTATGACATATCTATAATTTATGGGTCAAAACTGCTGTGTCTGTTTCTGCTGAAGATGATAAATCAACAAGTTCTGCTGGTACAAAGGCACCGGTTTTTGTGTGTGTGGGCAGAACAGGGCGTTGTCCAGGGATGACGACTCAAAGAGACGTGTGGCTGAATCATGTCAAATCAACTTGAATCTGAGACCTGAACCTGCCTCAACCAATAAAGAGACAGACATGTTTTAACTCTCCAACTCTCTTTTTTAAGATTCTCTGCTCAGGCTCCCTCCAGGAGAAGCTGACACAGGTGCTCTTACAGGTGCTCTTACAGGTGTCTACAGGTCTCTACAGGTGCTCTTACAGGTGCTTACAGGTGCTCTACAGGTGCTCCTACAGGTGCTCTTACAGGTGCTCCTACAGGTGCTCCTACAGGTGCTCTTACAGGTGCTCCTACAGGCAGTGATGGAGTTTGCAGTTTGGGGGCCTGAGGGGCCCTTGAGTTCGGGGCCCTTGAGTTCGGGGCCCTCATCACTCTAATGTTTTGTTAATATTTTTATTTGTCTGTTTTTCCACTGGAAACTTGTCTTATTAGTTCGGTCACTGACTAGAAAACCAGGACTGAAAGTATTTTTGGTAACACTTTATAATAACTACACCTTATTTAGCCTTAATAAAGCATGAACAAAGACTTAATTAATAATGATTCACGCTTAGTAGCTACTTAATTACTACCTTAATTAGCACTTGCACTTAATTTGCCTGTGCTGTAAATAGTTACTCATCATTATTTCATACTTAATTACTCATGAACTAACCATTTTAGCATTTATTAATCATTAATAAGCCATGAGAGAATGATTTACTAATAATACAATGTAATGATCATTCAGGCAGCTGTTATCTGTTAGTTAAGACTTTTTGAGAGCTTTTCTAAAGTGAAGACTAATTATGCTTTATTAAGTAGTTACTAAGCATGAATCATTATTAATTAAATCTTTGTTCATTATTAATTAAGTCTTTGTTCATGCTTTATTAAGGCTAAGTAAGGTGTAGTTATTATAGAGTGTTACCCTTTTTTTTTTTTTTTTAGTAGTACAATTATTATTTTTGTTTACGTCCATTACATATGATTATTTTTCTTATGATTATTGTTTAAAAGTAAAACTCCTCATTTAAGGTCATAATCTAATAACTCTGGGGTGTCGGTCGTTAGTGACACTGAGGGATGTTGGTTGGGTTGTTTCCTGGGACAGTCTCAGTCCTGAGTCTGTGTCTCTGTCCCACAAATTTATACAAAAACCTCAGATCTGTCCCAGTTTATACAAGAAAAGTCCCAGTGTGTCTCTGTTTTGGACCAGTCTGATCTGTGCAGAACAGTCGGGGGTGACCTGTGTGTGACCTGTGTGTGACCTGTGTGTGACCTGTGTGTGACCTGCGTGTGACCTGTGTGTGACCTGCGTGTGACCTGACCTGTGTGTGACCTGTGTGACCTGTGTGTGACCTGTGTGTGACCTGTGTGTCACCGTCTCACGTACAGGAGCATCTGCTTTTAACACTTTTATATCTTTAATCTGCAAATGTTTCACTGTCTCATGTTTCTGTTCAATCTTTCATGTTCTGCTGTTTTCTGTTTGTGCTTTTGTTTTATTCTGTCGTCACTGCAAATGTTATTGCAAATACTTAATAAATAAAAGAAATACAAATGTATTTATTCTTAAAATGTTTATTATTATTATTATTAATTTATTTTTCTTTCTCTTTATTATTATTATTATTAATAATAATAATTATAATGATAATAGTGGTGATGATCATAATAATAATTTTATTTAATTATTGTTATTTTTATAATAATTATTATTATTTTATTTTTTTTATTTTTTTTTTCTTTCAGAGTCTGTTAAGGGTGGGTGTGGGGAGGGCAAAACGGGGAGGAGGGGGTTTAAATGAGGCATTTGTTTACTTGTACATTTTGTGGCAGTAGTCCTGGTTTAGTCCCACTTTAGACCTGGTTCAGTCCTGGTTAAGACCTGATGTACTCCTGGATTAGTCTTAGTTTAGTCCTGGTTTAGACCTGGTTTAGTCCTGGTTTAGTCTTAGTTTAGTCCTGGTTTAGTCTTAGTTTAGTCCTGGTTTAGTCTTAGTTTAGTCCTGGTTTAGTCCTGGTTCAGTCCTGGTTTAGTCTTAGTTTAGTCCTGGTTTAGTCCTGGTTTAGTCCTGGTTCAGTTTAGTCCTGGTTTAGTCTTAGTTTAGTCCTGGTTTAGTCTTTTAGTCTGGTCTGGTTTAGTCCTGGTTTAGTCCTGTTTAGTCTTAGTTTAGTCCTGGTTTAGTCTTAGTTTAGTCCTGGTTTAGTCAGTTAGTCCTGGTTTAGTCCTGGTTCAGTCCTGGTTCAGTCCTGGTTTAGTCAGTCCTGGTTAGTCCTGGTTTAGTCCTGGTTTAGTCAGTTAGTCCTGGTTTAGTCCTGGTTTAGTCCTGGTTCTTGTTCGCCTGCGGTGAGAACAGAGAGAAAAGCGTCGTATCGGCTTTTTTAACTGGACGTTTTTAACCGCGCACACGGCACAACAGAGGAGCTTATCTGAGACCAAGGTCCAAGGCTCACACCCCCGCACCTGCCACACCCGCACCTGCCAACACGCACC